ATACCCTCCTTGGTCACCGCCCATCTAGCCTTGTGGTCAAGCAAGTGGGGTGGGGGTGAGGTGAGGTGAGAGTCTTTCGGATGGTCATAGACAGCTTCTCCTTAGTAAAGGGGTTGTTGAGAAGAGCTGGGGCAACCCTAGGCCAGAACCTACACGACGGTCTAAGTGTTTTGGTGAGGACAACGGTGAATGACCTTTGATCACTCAGATGGTTGTCACGAGAGATGGGAGAGGAGACGCGGCCAATTAGCAGGGGGCCAATCAGTGCCATATCTATGCGTGACGCTGACTGGAAAGCTCCTCCATCATACTGGATCCTAGTCATACAACCTAAGCCAGACGCGGAGGGTGGAAGCGCATCTATAAAGCCACTCAGGCGAAGGAAATCCTGGAGGCGACTTGATCCAGGGCGTTCCTTTGCTGCAGGGGGGTAAGAGTCACGGACGCGACTTATGGTTGTGTTGAAATCTCCTAAGAGGACTGTATTCCGTTGGAGATTGAGTTGGACGAGCTCTTCCAAGAGCCGATTTTGCTCCTGACCTGCATTAGGCAGGTAGATGCTTGCAGCGAAGAAGGAGAAGTCAGGAGTGGTGAGTTTGGCATTATGAGGCGGCCACCTAGATATTGTGAAAAAGAATGGGTTTTAACCCGGGGATTCAAAACAATAAGGGCGGCATGGTTTGTCCAGAAGGAGTTGCCTCCAAACTGTTCATTCCATGCAGATTGTTCGTGGGGGAGGATATGGGGCTCCTGGACAGCAGCGATGTCAATTTGTGCTGACCTGAAGTTTTGGAGGAGGCGGGCTCTCCGCTTAAAGTCCCGCAACCCATTTGCGTTGATGGATTTCAGGGCCAGGGTGCTGACATGGGGACTCATAGATGTTCCCCTCCATGACCTGGGGGGTTGCCAGCGCTTAAACCTGTTGCTGTGAGGCGGCTAGTTTTGAGTCCTTTAGCTTGACTATTAGCTGCAATCTGTGAGGAGCGTCGAGGGTTCTGAGGGGAAGGAGAGGGTGGGGGGCGGAGGACCCAGTAAGTCAGCCTAGGATGTTGCCCCCGCTCCGTTGCAGGGGAAGGACCTGAGGGTGCTCAATGGTGACCTCCTCAGTGTCCCCATTTAATGATTCTGAGTCCATATTCACTTCCTCCAAAACTGCAAAGGATCCGCGCGAAATGGACTGTGGGGTTGGGGTAGGATTCTTTAAGGTGGCACTTCTACCGCAGGCTGCGGGTTGCCAGTCCATGCTGGTGGGCATAGCTCCATTGGGAGCTGAGGGTTGATGCGATAAATTGCTGGTGGAGGTTGATGGGGGTGCCGCGGAGCCCTTAGTGGGGGTGGCTGATGAGGGGCACCCTGTGGGAGATGCCTTGCGCTTGGTGAGAGAGGGAGTTGACTCTGGGAGATTGGAGGGGGTTCCCACTGGAAGGGGGGCATGAGCGCGAAGGTATCCCATACTAATAGTGGGGTTAGCTGTTTCAACTGCTAGGCGTAAGGCCTCAGGGGACAGGTCTTGAACGGGAACCCATTGTGTGGGTTGTGGAATTGCTGCTGCAGCCACGTGGGATCGTTTTTGGCCTGGTTTAAGCCCCTGGGTGGTGGCTAAGAGGGCTTGTTTTCGAGCTGTGCAGCCACTATACAAGTATCCAAGGGCATTGAACCATGAACACCGGGGGCGCGCCTGATCAGGGTCGACAAAAAGATCTCAGGGCATGCCCCAACTACCCCACATGAGGAATAACCTCAATGTTGCGGGATACAGTGGGGGAGGGGATGAACGACGCCCTAGCAGTGCGAGCTCTTTGAGTGGGAGCATAGTAAGAGGGGACGCTAAAGTCCACTGAAAGAACAGACCCAAACTCCATTAAACCACGATGGAGTGCCAGTTTAAGAGACTCAGGATAAACAGTTGTTGGTAGGTTGAAAAAAGTAACCCATGAAATTTTTTCCAGGTGAGAGCATGTGCGGGAGATGCAAAGAGATCCACGTGGAATAATAACCTGGAGGGTGGCAGCATGGTCAGCAAGGGCAGCTTCAATGAAGCCCACATCGATGTAGTGGCCCTCCACTGATTCATGGATGGTGGTGTTAATTGGGAATGTCTCCGCAATCGCTGCAAAGTATGAGAAGTAATCCTCGGTATAGAATTCAACAGGGTTATGCCCATAATAAAGGCTAATTGCATGGGAGAGAGTTGAGCGAGGTAGAGCTTTTGCGCTCTAGTTTCGGCCCATTTCTTCTTAACATCAGCAATAAACGCCACTTCACGGGGATCAGCTTTGGGTAGCGTTGGTGCCAGAGGTTTTTGCCACGCCCCAGTGGCTCCTTTGGTACGTTTGTGTTTGCTTTGGGCTGCAATTGCGGGGTTAAGTGTGATCTGGTGGTTTGTACAAGTTTGTGGAGTTCCCTTGTTGCTGGAATGTTACAGCAGTTGCTGGCGTCATATTAAATTGAGGGGCGGTTCGTTGGGCCTCACTAAATTGGGGAGGCCCATTCAGATTGGAATTAACTCCAGCCAATTGGGAGGAGGGAGATATTTCATCACCATCCCAATCTATTTGGGTAAATTCAGCCCAAGTATTTGCTGTGATTTTGTGGGCAAAACTCACTGGCTGATTGGTGAATTGGTCATTTTCATCATATGGAGATAAAGTGCCGACTTGAGAAGTGCCAATTATGGGGTTTAAATGGGACGGGTGAGATTGGAACTGGTGTGAAGTTCCAAAATCCGAACCATTTGAATCCTCATTGGGAAGAGTAGATTGTCCCAAATTGGTGCTTAGTGAACCAGAATGTGCGGCTAATCCAACCTTACATCTGAGGGTCTGGGGGCCAGGTAGCTGGGTATCACCCCTCATGGAGGGAGCCAGGAACACGGCGTTAGCAATAATAGATGGGGCTGAATTAGCTGACACAATGGGGGAGGTGAATGCCTGGATGGGCTGAGTTGCATTCAACTGAGCAGACGCCATTAAAACAGCATGGGTGATGGCCTCCTTGGTTGGAGGGGGCCCAGCGGGTTGGTGGGAGGCAGCGCACACAGAGCTGTTAGGCGTGCAGGTTGCAGAAGTGTGATCAGGTGAACTGGCGCTAGTTGAAGTAGCTCCAGGTTGGGGGGTGGTGCCTGCTTTCATGGCTGCTGCTTGAGAGCGGGTGATTCTGGTTGACCCTGAGGTAGGTAACCGAGGGTTGCTTCATTTGAGGGTGGTGCTGGCTCGTTTGGCATAGCCTGCGGGTTCTTTTGCGGGGTTTCCCGCCATATTTGCTAATAGTTTTCGTAAATCTCTTTAGTGGAGCTAAATTTCAGGCTGAATTGATTTTCGAAAAGTGATGCTTAGCAGAATGAGATAAGTTTTTATAGATCTTCATCCTATAAATATACAAACTATTAGGTAAGAATAGGATCAGTCATATAATATAGAGTGCAGATGGCCTATAAAGATCTACAGATATATAAAACTAAATAAACATAAGCAGATTACATTGAAAGATCTACAAGCCATTGGGACCACCTAATGCTAAAAAATAAAGATCTACAAGCCATTTAACTGATTTACTAAATAGATTGATAAAGCAATAATTTTCAAAATTCTAAATTTAAATTTTTTATTTAAGGTGGGCTGACTTAGGGTTGATACTGCGCCAATGAAGGGAATAAAGAAAATGGGAAAGGAGGATAAAACATGGAAAGCCTCCATGCTTGGCATATGATAGGCCAGAAACTCCATGGACTGCCTTTGATATTCACTATCTCAGATCGGGGCATTAGTGCGCAAAACCAACACAATCATAATTGTCTCTTACCCAAAGTTCATCTAATGGGGTTTGAATTTGGGGAGGCAGTGGTAGAGAGTCCATATTCTACCACTGGGATATCCCCTTTTGGTATAACAATGGTAACTTAGATGTTTTTTAATTCTTAATTTGAGGTGGGCTGACCTGATGATAATACTGCACCAAAGAAGGGAAGTGAAGAAAATGGGAAAGGAGGATAAAGCCCAGAAAACCTCCATGTGCAGCGTATGATAGGCCAGGAACTCCATGGACCGCCTTGCTATTTGCTATCTCAGTTCATGGCATTGGTTTGCAAAACCAACACAGTCAAAATCATCCCCTACCCAAAGTTCATCTAACGTGATCAAACTTGGGGAGGCAGTGGTAGAGGGTCCATATTCTACCACTGTGGTATCCTCACCTTGATAACTTAGGTGTTATACAATACAACTTTTTAATTAAACTGTTATTAACAAAATAGTTTTTAGTCTCATTCTGGACACAATGATGTATTGATAAACCAAGGGTATAATATTTAAATTTTAGTCTCTTTAAGAGCTAATACTATCAAATAAATCATATACTTTTATCTTCTAGAAAAATCCTATATAAATATTTCTGTGAGGATGCAAGTTTAAAATACTATCTAATTTATAAAAGGGGCACCAGGCCTGTGTACTCCTCTATTTGTCAGAAGATTGTGTATGATCTAAAAACCTTATGATTTCAAATGAGATGACATAATCCAACAGTTTTTCCATTTGATTGAATGAGAATTATTTAGTTGGTTATACAGCCATTAGCTATTAAAATGCCCTTGTTTACTCTTTCCTCATTCCATTTAGTGATATATTCATTTAAAGGTGGATATCATATAAGTAAATCAAAACAAACAGATATGATGAAAGGGCAATGGTATCACATTTATTTTAGCATCTAAAACTACCCTATAATAGATGCTATACACACTATGGCTACGCCAGATCAGTGACATAATTTAGATTTATATAATAAATTTTTAAGAAAAAGATCCAGCTATATGAAGTGTTAATCTACACTTTGAATGACAATTAGTCAATTAGGGTTTAGTTTGAAAAACCCCTACTTTCTATAAGGTAGTATATAACTGAGAATTTAAATAGTTAATAATGGCAAAAAATGTTTTTGATTTTCAATGGATAGTTATACGCCTTTAATCTAGTTTAATGACTATGATAAAAAAATAGTAATGACACCTGCAGGACTTGAACCTGCGCAGGGAAACCTTATGAGATTTCTAGGCTCACGCCTTAACCGCTCAGCAAAATTTTTTAAGAACTCCATACTTTATTAAATTAAATTTAAGGGAAAGTAAGAAAAGAGGGTGGAATACAAGTGATTTGGCTGAGGGTAAAAGGACTGGGGGTTCGGGCCACTAGAGTTCTAGCACGTCTGACCATCGCTAATCAGCAATCACCATCACTAGCCACAGTTCTAGCATTGGCAGGCTTACAGGCCATTCAATTCTCAGTTGATTAGTTGCCTCATTGCATGCGATGAGCAATTCAATGGGGAAAGCCAAATGTGTGGATTTATAACACCCGGGGATTATGCGCAAAAATTTTGAGATCCAATGGAGCTGATCAGAAATTATCTGAATGGTCTTCAATAACAAACCCCTGTGGTGGGGGCGCTCATTGCTCAAAACCTTGGTGATGAGTGCACAGTGAATTACCCACACATAATAATGCTAAATGAAGGCTTGTAGTTGGATCAGAGCCATTCTCAGGGTTTTTGTAAAGAAAAGGTCCTGCAATGGATTTATTCCCAATGGTGATTGTTCACCTGATAGGATGTAACACATCATGGACCAGTATTTTTTGAACATGGCGCATTCATAGTAATGGTGTGCTATGTCTGCTTCCAGTTCAGCGCATATGGGGCATTCTTTGTGCTGGTATTCCAGCCCGCTGTGCTTTCCCAATTTGAATGCCTGATTTTGGATCCGCCAGGTTACCAAATGCTGTTTGGCCAATACCAAATGGGAGTTCAGGCCTGAAAGCAACTCCTTCTTTGGGTAGTTGGTGTTGTGGCCTTTGGTAGTCCAGTCATCTAGGATTCATGGATGAGTGGGCAGATTGTGCCCCAGTTTCAGGAGTGGATCCCCATATTCTATCAGCATCAATTTGTACCTTTTAAATTTTTAAATTTATTGCGGGGAAGGCCGACCATGGGACGGACACTTCCAAATATGACTCAGATGAGACAAAACTCAGTACCAGGTGAGGCACCCCAGAGAAGCGATGCTATCTCTTGTTGCCAGCGGGAACGCCACTTATGGGAAGGGGGAGGGAACGTGTGTAGGGGGCGTAGCCACTATTGAGCACGTGTGGAGGAAGGGGTCTGATTTGATGAACCAGACTGGGAACCAGGAGGAGACCAGCTGCCGGCGACGTGGTGGGAGATATCCAAACATCCACGCTTGAAAGTGATCCACCAAATGAGACCGGAATCTGTGGACAGCTTCAGGGAGGGTGGGGATGGATCTGGCGATGGCATCCAAGACAATCGTGTGGATAGTCCACATGGCGATTGCAACCACCAGAGCACGAAGGGAGGGTGGGAGGGGGGAGGCCATTGATGAAGCAAACATATCTCTTGACAGACTGAAGGGATGTGTTTGATCCTGGCCTAGCAGACGTTGGACTTCGCACCATATTACTTTAGAGGTGGGGCACTTCTCCAGGCGGTGAAACAGCGTTCCATACTGGCCACACACAACACAGGATGAGTGTAAAGCATTAGAGCGCTCAGCTGTACGATACACCCGCCTCAGGCAGCGCCACACATGGGAACGGACTTGAGGCTGCAACAGAGGATGGTGTGCGTATTTCCAGATAGTCTTTTGGGTCTCAGTGGAATAAGGGATGTCCATCATGTCCAGGTAGTCCACCCTGGATAGGATTTGGGGTCGAATGGGGATCACGCCATCATGGATGGGTAGCCCCTGTACCTCTTGTGTGAACTGAGGAGAGGGGCGGCCTCTTCAGGTTGTATGTCCACTAATACGAATTCTCCACTCTGCGCTTCGCATGGAGAGTAGGATTCGTTTGTAGTGGGTTTTGGTCCCGTGAGGACCTGTGGCTGATGTGTGTGATGCGAGGTATTTCATCAGGGAGTGGGGGTTCGATGGATTGTTGAGGCCTAAGGCTCAGGAGAAGTTGGAGCGGGCCGCGCGGGACCAGTGTTGGGATGGGAGTGTAGGAGCAGTGACGGCCGCAATCCAGGTGCCTAGGATCTTGGCGGCATGGGCTTTGAAGTCAAGTAGGCCCATGCCACCATGATGAGGGCCAAACATGACCTCTAGCCGTACTGGTGGAGGGCGGCCTGACCAAAGCCAACCTTGTAGCAAAGCATACAGGGATTTGAAGAAGCTTGGGGAGAAGGGGATGGCGTGGGCTCCAAACCAGACTTTGGATAGGAGCATAGAGTTGGCAAGAACAGCCCTGCCAGTGAGGGTAGTAGGGTGGGGCTCTGAGAGAGGCGATTCGCTTCGTCACGTTGTCCAGTATATGGCACTCCATTACTGCTGACGCGTATCCTCCTGCCTCCAACCACACGCCCAGATGGCGTACCGGTCCTATGGTAGGTCGCGGCACAAAGGGGAGCACCAGTGGAGCGGTGTGTTTTGAGTTAGTAAGGCGTGGACTTGGGCGAGCAGCTGGGCTGGGTTGGGAACTACTTGCTGGGGCCCAGCAGTTCTGAAACCGACCAAGGAGGATGATTTCAGTTTTGGAGGCATTCAGTGCCGCGTTGCTTACCCGGGAATATTCCTGGATGAGGGCTTCAAGCGCGCGTGCATCTTTATTATTAGACACCCCCACCACGCAATCATCTGCAAATGCCATCATCTTGACTGGGGTTTGGCCTGGCACATGGACCCCAGTGAGTTGGGCATTCACATTTCGCAGTAGTGGGTCAAGGCTGAAGTTGTATAAGAGTGGGCTCAGGGGGTCCCCTTGTCGCAGGCCCCTTTGAGGATGGACTACTTCCATTAGGAAACCTGGGCTGCGCACAGCCATTGTTGCAGATTCCGTGAGCAGCATCACCCAGTTAATGAAGCGGGGAGGTAGGCGGAATTGTTGGAGGCAGGCCCTAAGGTATTCCCAGTTTACTCTATCATAGGCCTTTTGTTGGTCCAAGAATACAAGTGCCCCAGAGGCTGTGGATTGACACACATTAGCCACAGAGTGCACGTTATCCCAAATTGACCTTCTGGGGATGAAACCAAATTGTTCTGGAGAGATGGTGGCAGATGCTACAGTCCCTAAACGGTTAGCCATGATTTTTGTTAAAATTTTGGTGTCTGTGTTTGTTAGAGAAATGGGGCGCCAGTTGGCTAAGTCTAGCCTATCCCCTTTCTTGAAGAGTGTGACTGTAAAGCTTCATGTCCTCCTGGTAGGAGGCGCGTTTCTAACAGGCTTTGGTTGAGTGAGGCTAGCAGCAATGGGGATATGTATTTAAAATATTTTTTGTAGAACTCATATGGAATGCCATCTGGGCCTGGGCATTTTCGGTTTGGCGCACCACAAATGGTAGTCCATAATTTGTTTGGAGTAATTAAATTCATTATTTCCGGGTATCGGAAAATGGTGCAGATATGAGCTCTGTCAAGAAATTCCGCCATTTTGGCTGGCTGAATTGGTTCAGCTCAGTATAACTTGGAGTAATATCTTTGCATTTCGATTGCCACTTCAGCCAGTGTGTCCATGATAGAATTATCCAATCTTCGCGCCTGTGTGCAGGCCACACTCTGGCGTGGTGCAAAAAATTTTTTGAAGAAGTATGCGGTGCACTTGTCGCCTTTAGTGATGCGTGTGGCCCTGTATTGGACACAAACCCAATGTTTGTGTTGCCTTTCAAGTGCGTTGAGGTGGGCTGCTGCCTCCACCCACTTCTGGCCCCATGCAGGGCTATATCCTGAGGCTGGAATGTTGGACTCCAAGTGGGCCAATTCTGCCAGCGCGCGATATAACTGCCAATGTGGCTCGTGAGCATCTGCATGAGAGATGGCGATAGTGGCGGATGGTGTCTTTTTTGAAAGTTGCCCATGTGGAAATGGGGTCCATGCAAAATGGTGCAACAAACGATTTTGCCAAAGTTGCCTCTTCCACCCACGTGGAAAATCCTGGCGACGCAAGCTCTGGGAGGCGGATTTTGCACCAATGTGGGGCCTTTGCAACTGTGACGGGTAAGTGGTATGTTATCAAGACCAGTCGGTGGTCGAAGAATTCCATTTTCGTTGTTTTGAAGTGGGAGATGTGGGGTTGGAATTTCGCCAGCGCTAGAATAAGGTCAATGCGGGTCATGGACCTTAATTGGCTGTTGTGGATGTGGGGACGCGTCATGTTTTTGAGCAGTGGGGCATGTCGCGGCAGTGCATCCATTAACCCAAGGGTGGCTTTTAGAACGCGTAGTTCTACATGACCCTGTGGGGCGTGAGGTGAGGGTGGCCACCAGTCCGTTGGTGAGGTTAGCCAACAGTTCATGTCGCTGATTAGGAAAGAATTGGGGGGTAGCGGGAGGGATTTGACCAATGAGAAAAATTCCTGACGCTCTTGTGCACCGTTTGGGGCATAAATGTTGACGATTGTGTGTGCAACATCAGCCCATGAGAAGGTGACAACGAGCACTCGGTCATTTAGGAATGTTTCTGAAGATGTAAATTTGAAAAAATTGTTTTTCCAAATTAGCACCCCACAGTGCTTCAACCAAAAGGATAGGGATGGTAGGAGCATTGTTTTCCAAGCATCCTCGGAACCTTGTGGACAGTGGGTTTCCTGGATGGCCAGGATATCCACGGGTAAATTATTTTGTAAAAAACTCAGTTTCCTAGCCTGGGATGGGGAGGCCTTGAGTCCGGCGATATTCAGCGTCCCTAGAGTGAAGGTTTCCCCATCACACCTTAGGTGCAAGGGGGTGGGCCCCCTGGCCCACCAGCCTCTTCCAGGTCCCCACGGGCTTTCACAGCAGCGCGGGTATTAGCAGCAATGCTATCGGGGTTTTTGTTAATTTTTGTGGAAAGAGTTGCATTGGCTTTGGCCTTTGCTTTTTGTTTTCCTGACGTCGGACGAATTTTTTGCGGTGCGGATAAGTTTGATGCACCGTCGAGTGGGGCAAAAAAAAATTTTGGTTGGGATAGGTCCCAAGTCAGTTTCAACCGGGGCTTGGGTGCAGCGATTGGGTGAGATCAAATCTCCCATCAGATCCTCGGATTGAGTGGCCTGTTCGGCTTGGGCCTCCCAATCTGATTGGGTGATGGATTCCCAAGT